GAGATTCTACACGTCCTACCACAGAAACCTTTCCGAGACAGCACAAATGTCGAGTTGAGCCTGCATACCGAGGTGGAAGAATGCTGTACTACCTTGATCCAATTCGTCATCGACCAAGAAGAACAGACCTTTATCAGAAAGTTTGCCACTACTGCCAAAAAGAGAGCGAAGAAGGCCAGGAATATGCAAGGAATTCTTAACTAAAAGGAGAACGAGGCTTTCGCTGCTCAAATCTAGCCATGGCGTATTCATACCCAGTCGTAGGACCACCGGCTCAAAAGCGGCAAAAGGAGAGCTCCTGTCAATGTAATAGCCTCAAGGCCATCTTATTGACAGAATAATAAAGCACTAAAGTGGCTAGTAGTCAGATGCTTGCTGAATGGTCCACCGACCCACTACCTTTGTCACAGGCATGTGACAACCCAACCACTTGCCTGGGTCCTGCAATGCAGCTCTTGACATCAACTCGCAGATAACCCTTAAAAAACACAAGCACGCAGATCCCAAATTCCACAAACGTATGTAGGATAAACTGAAAATATTAGAATGCGGAGAAGCAAGCTAGGCGTGGAGTCTTATGAATAATGCATGCATATATACAATACCTAATAAAATTACATTCCTCCAATGCACTCAGGCTTCTACTTCCTGATCGTATGTGCAAAGTTCCCCGACTTAACTTCTCAGTTACACGATACTGCTATCCATATCACCATGTGCTTGAATATCCAACTCTACTTTGCCCTTTTCCTTTCTTCGTAGTGGGACATGAGCAAGACAGAAAAGGAGGTACTAGCACCCTCACAACTTGTCCTGATCAAAAGTCTTAAAAAGCACATGCATTAAAACTTGCTATGCACTACTTTTCTCAGTTAGGTCGGAACAACAACGCAAGTGAATGAGCGCCAGTTATTCTTTAACAAGGGAAATAAAATCAAATTGCATGGTATATTGCACAAATGAGCAAATTCAGTCAATAACACTGATTAGATGTCAATGAGGACAAAAATCAGGCCTATCAATATTTAATACACTCTGACATTGGGTAACAGCACCTAAACAACTAGTAGCAGCAATCGAAGCGGTAGCACAGACGATCCTTAGAGACCTACGCAAACAAGTGCACACCATAGGAAATGGGAGGTAAGAATGGACACAATTAGTCGTGAGTCATCCAAGTGAAACTTCTATTGCGTGATTACCATTCCCTTGGTAGCATCTGCGACAGATGCAAAAAACCACACTTCACGGTGGGGAGGCACACCTCATCAGGGTAGATAAATAAAAAGCATACAATGATATACACAATCAGGGGCCTTT